TCTAATTTAACCCCTCTTTTACAAGATGCGAGGTCCAGAATCCAGGCAATGTAGGGTGCTGTCTAAGGTATTGAGGAGGCAGGTGAGGCTGCTGCCTCACTTACCAACAGTTGATGGAGTCTTTATGTTTATAACTCTACCTGAATTGCATGATTGTAATTGCGTGACGATCAATATGAGAAATATGAAACATATAAATAAAAATGAAACAAAGAAAAGATGTTAAAATCTAAGGGTGGGACATTTAGACTTGGATTAGAGGGCATTAGCTGAAGGAAATGAGAGGAAAAGTCTAGATACATTCCAGTTGAAAAAGTACTAGTACTTTTGCAAAGTGACTGCCTACATAAGGAAGCCAAAAAGTAAGCAACAGAAAACAAACAAAAAAACCAACTCCAAGTATGAACCTGAGCATCAGACCTGATGGTTAAGTTCGGAAGTTGTTCAGTTGTACAAGGGGAAAGGTGATAATAGCATTAAAATGCATTTTATCGAAGAGTAGTTTTTAAAAAAGTAATTCTTCGCAAGGTAAAAAACTTCTGGAAATTGGTTTCACAACAATGTGAATATACTCAACTGCTGTACACTTTAAAATGGTTAAGATGGTATATTTATTTTTAAAAAAATTTGAAGTGTTCATATATTTTTTTTAAAGCAATTCTTTTTATTAATTTAAACTTTTGCTCCATCTGCTTTGGAGCTTTATCAGCTTTTTATGTTTTAAGAATGCAGACTCACTCAGGTCACTGCAGTTAATGGGAAGTCTGTCTATTTTAAGGGTTCACATGACAATAAAAGAGATAAGAATATCATAGGAACCTAAGAATAGCAATATGATCGGGCTTCAGTTGGGAACTAAAATGAACATGGAACTGGACAAATTCCATGCCCACCTAAAGACTGGGTTAACTTGTCCCTCTTGGCTGCAGCAGAAATGCAGTACTCCCCAACTACAGGGTGTCGCTGCTGTGCTCTGTCTACAACTACCAGCCAACGACTACATTTAGTTGCGACTTTTGCTTAGTCATAATTCCAGCTTACTCACAGTCTCTCTATGACCAACTTGTAGCTTCTCTCCCCACAACTGACAGACTGATTCTCCCTATATATCCCATGTCAAATTCTTGAAAGGAAAAAAAGAAATCTGACTGGCCTCATTCAATTTTTAACTTAATCGTGTGTCAGAATCACCTGGAGAGTTTGTTAAAGCCTAAGTTGTTAGGCCCCATTCCCAGCATTCCTGACTTAGTAGTCTGGGGTAGGGCCTGAGAATTGGCATTGTAACAAGTCCCAGGCAATGCTGACTACACAGTTCTTGGAACCACACTTGAGAACCACTGGCTTGCTTAGCCACTCTTTTATCTGTTTGGACAGAGCAGCTGAGGCTCTACCTCACGTCACCCATAGCATACTTCCAGACTGACTCATAGGCTCACAAGTGGGAGATTTTTAAAGCTTCTTTTTCTTTTTGGCCTCCTCATTTATGCAGTCACCCAAGTCCATTGCTTTTTCTTTTTTTCTTTCAGATCATTTCATATTTTTCAATTATAGTTGGCCAAAAATATTATATTAGTTTCAGGTGTACATCCCAGTGATTAGACATTATATAACTTACTAAGTGATCATCCCGATAAATCTTGTACCCGTTTGACACCATACATAGTTATTAGAGTATTATTGACTATATTCCTTACACTGTACTTTACGTCTCCATGACTGTTCTGCTACTACCAATTGTACTTCTTAATCCCTTCACCTTTTCCACACAACCCCTCAACCCCTCAACCCCAATACCATCTGGCAACCATCAAAATGTTCTCTGTAGCTGTATCTGTTTCTGTTCTGCTTGTTCATTTATTTTTTTTTTAGATTCAGTTGTTGTTAGATATGTATTTATTGCCATTTTATTGTTCATGTTTTTGTCTTCTTCTTAAAGAAGACCCCTTAATACTTCATGTAATACTAGTTTGGTGGTGATGAACTCCTTTAGCTTTTTCTTGTCTGGGAAATTCTATCTGTCCTTTGATTCTAAATGACAACTTTGCTGGGTAGAGTAATCTTGGTTATAATTCCTTGATTTACATCAATTTGAATATATTAGGCCAATTCCTTCTGGCCTGCAGAGTTTCTCTTGAGAAATCAGCTGACAGACTTATGGGAGTCATCTAGGCTTTTAACTGTAGTAATTTGGATTTTTCTCTTATCTGCTCCTCTTCTTTCTCTTTCCTTCATGCAACCTCATCTAACTAGAAGCCAATTCAATTTCATAGGGCTGCTGAAACCCAACTACAAACAAATATCATCATGATGTTCCGAGTTGTCATTTACTTTTGAGCTACACCAGCATTTCTCAAACTTTTTCATGAAAGTACCTCTAACTACAGAGAAAATGTAGACTGTGTAGAGGAGGGTGCCCTTAAGGAATGTAGCCCTAAGTAGCTTTTAAATTTTTCTCTAACAGCTTTCAAGAAACATCTTGGTAAGCTCCTATTGATTTTATTTTTTAAAGTTATGGCTTACAGTTAAGATGGAGACATAGGTAAACACTCTTGCCTCCTCACACAACCACAGCAAAAATTACAACTAAATTACAAAACAACCATCACCCAAAATCATCAGAAAATCAAGCTTTATGGATGTCTGATAACCAAGGAATTAAAGAAGTCACATTTATTCAGATGGGTAGGAGGGGCAGAGATATGGAACAGGCAGTCCACATCCACATGTGATGGATAAAAATAGGGCGGGATTTCTCAGGAGCAAGGGATCCCAGCCTCAGACCAGGCCCCCCAGCCCAGGGATACAGTGCCAGGAAGATAAGTCCCTACAACTTCTGGCTGTAAAAGCCAGTGGGGGTTGGGGTGGTGGAAGAAACTGCAGGATTCTCAGGAATCTCCTCTTAAAAGGCCTGCAACAGATTTAGGACTTATGCAGACTCACTCCCTCTGAGCTCCAGCACTGGGGCAATAGCTTGAAGGGCACCAATGGCATATGGGGAGAAACTGAAGTGTCTGGCATCAGGGTGAGTGCTGGGGAAAAGCTTCCTCCTGATCAAGACTCCAGAGGCCAGGCAGCAGCATTGTCCCGTTTCTGAGCTCTGCTGCACACAGAACCACAGAGAGGTGACACCATATCTGAGACTCCATCGATCTGGTTCACATTGGTTGCTCTGCCCAGACGATTACCTAAGGCTCTTCCACATCCAAATTACAGATGTGCTTTTACACATTAGGCTTCACTACTAAGACAGGGATTCAAAGCAGCTATACCTAGTACATAGAAACAAACACAGGGAGGCTGCCAAAATGAATAGACAAAAGAAACGTGGTCCAAATGAAAGAACAGAACAAAACTCCAGAAAGGGAACTAAACAAAATGGAGATAAGCAATCTATCAGATGCAGAGTTCAAAACACTGGTTGTTAGTGTGCTCAAGGAGCTCACTGGATACTTCAGCAGCATAAAAAAGACCCAGGCAGAAATAAAGATTACACTAACTGAAATAAAGAAAAAGTTACAGGGAAATCAACAGTGGAATGCATGAAGCCAAAAATCAAATCAATGATTTGGAAAATAAGGAAATACAAAACATTCAATCAGAACAACAAGGAGAAAAAACAATAGAAAAATATGAGGATAAAGGAAGGAGCCAATGGGACAATTTCAAAGGTACCAACATTCAAATCATAGGCGTGCTGAAAGGAGAAGAGAAAGAGCAAGAAATGGGAAATCTATTTTAAAAAATAATGAAAGAAAATTTCCCTAATTTGGTGAAAGAACTAGACATACAAGTCCAGGAAGCACACAGAGTCCCTAACATGATGGATGCAAAGAGGACCACACAAAGACACATCATAATTAAAACGCTGAAGTTTAAAGGTAAAGGGAGAATCTTAAAAGCAGGAAGAGAAAAGCAGATAATTACCACAAAGGAGTTCTTTTAACACTGTCAGCTAATTTCTCAAAAGAAACTTTGCAGGCTAGAAGGGTCTGGCAAGAAGTATTCAAAGGGATGAAAAGCAAGGACCTACAACTTATATTACTCTATCCAGCAAAGCTATCACATAGAATGGAAGAGCAGATAGAGTGCTTCCCAAACAAGGTAAAGCTAAAGGAGTTAATCATCCCCAAGTCATTATTATATGAAATATTAAAGGGACCTATTTAAGAAAAAGATCAAAATTATGAACATTGAAATGGCAGTAAATTCACAACTATCAACAATTGAATCTAAAAAACAAACTGAGCAAACAAGCAGAACAGAAACAGAATCACAGATATGGAGATCATTTGGATGGTTACCATTAGGAGGTGGAAGGAGGAGAATGGGGAAAAAGATTCAGGGATTAAGAAGTAAAAATTGGTAGGTACAGAAAAGGCAGGGGGATGTTAAGAACAGTATAGGAAATGGAGTAGTCAAAGAGCTTATATGCATTATCCATGGACATGAACTAAGGTGGAGGGACTGCCAGAAAGAATAGGGGGTTCAGGGTGGAGGAAGGTAAAGGAGGAAAAATTGGGACAACTGAAATAGCATAATCAAAATATATTTTTTAAAAGTTTTTTAATTGACTTTTAGGGAGAAAGAGAATGGGAAACATGAATTTGTTGTTCCACTTATTTATGCATTCATTGGTTGATTCTTGTATGTGCCCTGAATGGGATCGAACCCTCAACCATGGTGTATCAGGAGTATCAGGAGCTCCAACTAACTGAGTTACCTGACCAGGGTAACAACTGCATAACTTTTAAAATTGATAGGAGAGGCTCTGCCCAGGTAATTCCATTGGTTGGAGTGTCATCCCCAAATGTCAACGTTACAGGGTTGAACCCAGTCAGAATAACTACAAGAATCAACCAATGAATGCATAGATAAATGGAACTACAAATCCCTCTCTCTCTCTCTCTCCCTCCCTCCCTCTCTCCCCCTTTTCCTTTCTCTCTCTCTCTCTCCCCCTCTCTCTCTAAGTCAATAAAGAAAAAAAAATTTAAAGCTATGCATTTGCTTCTCAGCCTCTTGGCTAAGATCAAGCATAGGTATCTGTTCTTATCAATTTAACATCTGATACATTCTCTGAGGACAACATATTAAATGATTTTTGGAGCAGGGAAATGGAATAGGAGTTGCTCGGTCTACACCATACGTTGACCCAGCATTACAGTACCCCCGGGAATGGTGCACCCTCTAGAGGACAATTTCTAAAAAAACAAAACAAAAAAAAAGCTATGCAGATTTTGCACCCTCTCTTTGTTTTTGTGTTAATGTTAAAAGAATGTGTTTAGTTCCTGGTCAGTGAGCCAAAATGATGCTTTGGGAACACTTTCTATGTTTATCTGGGCTTCATATAGAGCAACGGTCCCCAACCCTTTTGGCACCAGGGACCAGTTTCATGAAGACAATTTTTCCATGTCCAATGTTGGGGGGGTGGTTTCAGAATGATTCAAAAAACATTACATTCAAGCTCATCTCCTGCTGTGCGGCACAGTTCATAACACGCCTCAGATCCATAACGGCCCTTGGCCCAGGGGTTAGGGACCCCTGCTATAGGGTACCTGTGCCCTTGGTTGAGAAGGACCCTATAGGCTCCCTCTGGTCTCTCTGTCCTCAGTCTTTCTCTGTACCATTTGCTTCATACTTTAGTTACCGTGTTTTCACTATTGAATTGAATCTGGTTGTTGGCGAGTGGTTCCCTTCTATAGTCATCTAACACAATGGTTCTTAAACTGTGTTTCTCAGACCAGATGCATCAGCATCACCTGGGGCTTGTTAGAAATGGAGATTTTTCTGTCCTGTTCTATACCAGACCTAGTGAATCAGAAACTCTGGGTTTGGGGCTGAGCAGTCTGCCTTCCAGGTGATTCTGAGGTAGCTGAAGTTTGAGAGCCTCTGGTCTAGCATTTAGCTTTCAAATGTGAAACAGACTTAGATATGGACTCGCAAAGAAAAAAGAGAGAACTTAATGAGTATAAACTTTATTTAAAGTTAAAATGTTCATTTTAAAAACAAAGTTTTAATATTCACCAAAGGCTCTTTTACTAGAATTTTGCTACTAAATATATTTTTCATGAGATTTTTCTTAACTTTGGAAATGTGTTCTAAAGCGCAGATTAAATAATTTGTAATTCATTTGTCTCCTCCTAGTGGCAGGCTTTTAAATATTGAGCACAACATCCACTTATATTTCTCAGAAATTTGATTATTTTTAGAGAGAAGGGGAGGGAGGGAGGGAGAAAAACCTCAAGGTGTGGCTGCCTCTTGAGCACCCTCAACTATGGACCCAGCCCACACCCCAAGCGTGTGTCCGGACTGGAAATCTAACCGGCGACCCCTTGGTTCATAGGCCAGTGCTCAATCCACTGAGCCACACCAGCCAGGGCAATTTCTCAGGAATTATATTTCTGAATTTTTTCATAAGATTTCTCTAGCCACCACCGTTAAAATCAGTTGCCCTTCACCACCAAATTCAATAGGCTTCTCCTTTGGATCCAACCGCAGCTACACAAAATTATGTAACTTGCGTCTTACATGGCTTTTTTCGTTGAACTTGTAAATTTTCCCTCCTTTTGTTACCCATCACTCCTTTTTTTTCTTTCTTTCTTACTTTTACCCATAACTTCTAGCAGAAGAACTCCATTACTTAAACACTCTGAGTTGAATTTTCCTCTTTTATGGGACAGCAACAATACCCCGGCTTTGTGCCTTACTGTCTCCACCAGCACGGCTTTCCTTGCAATGCCCCAGGAGCGGCGCAAGACCTCCAGCCTGCTCGGCAGCCACTGCCATCAAATGTCTTCTCAATGAACGCTGTGGGCCCTCAGGTTCCTAGGCTATATTGACTAAGGTGTCAACAAATCCCTTTGACTGTTTCAAAACAAACAACACAAGGTTTGCTTTTTCTTTCCAAAAGAGTTTATTGATATGACAGGTTGCTTTATGCTCTATTTATTCCACTTTATTCCTTCCAAGCAGGTAGCCAGGCCATTTGTATCCCTTTGTCTGGGATGTCTAAACAATGGAAAGGTGAAGCAACTTGAAGAGCATGCCTCTTCCTGTCTATTGTTAAGAGTCTGAGCTCACTGAAGAATTTCTGCTAGATGTCTGACAGGGAAAAGTAGAGAGGTGCCTTTGTTTAAAATAGAAGGAAAAAAGTGGAGATTTCCTTAGGCTGGGAACGCGTGTAAATCGGTGTGCCCTCATTCCCCTAGCAGCACCCTGGAGAGGGGCCAGGACCCGTGGCCTGCTTCGAAGGACGGGACAGGAAGGTTCCCAAACATAGCAGGGGTTCCCACGCTCTGCAGAAACAGAGCCCCTGCCCTTCAAGGATCTGTGTCATCGACCGCAGGAATCTCAGCATTAAACAGCGTGGACAGAAGACTAGAGAGGCCTCTCAAAATACTATGTATGATCTGGCGGTATTAAGGGGAATAAATGGAAAGATTACATTTTCATGCCATCTCGATGTGACAGCAGTTCAGTTAAGTTTAATTTCATGTAAGAAAACAAACATTTTCTTAATTAATTAATTTATTTATTTTTAGAGAGAGGGGAAGGAAAGGAGAAAGAGACAGAGAGAAACATTGATGTGTAAGAGATACATTGATTGGTTGTCTCTTGCACTCCCCCAGCTGGGGACCTGGCCTGCAACCCAGGCCTGTGTCCTGACTGGAAATTGAACTGGTGACCTTTTGGTTTGCAGGCTGGCCCTCAACCCACTGAGCCACACCAGCCAGGGTGAAATATGGTTTTTCTTATACACCAAAGTTTGGGGTTGCAATTCACATACTAGGAAATTCAACGAAGAACAAAGCAAAAGGAGATGTAGAATACAGCTGTGACTGGACTGAAGGGGTCCATTTGCTTGCAAGCATCAGAGCCCAATAAGACAGGAGCAGGAGTTTGCAGCCAAGAAAGGATTTATTAGGGAGATGGCGCCATGCCCGGTGTCACAGGTAGCTCATGCTCAAAGACCCGCCTCTCCAAATGGTTTCAGGGATGGATTATATAAGGAAAACAATCATTAATCATAGTGACTAATAGAGTTAGAGTCATGGTCTCTATCGATCAGTTGGAGCTCGAGTACGGGATAATTGATCATTGCATTTGGTCCTGATGTCAGCCATGGAGTTGTTCTGCCCAATTTTGCAAGGATTTGTTCCGTGGGATCATTCCACTTTCCTGGGTCCACAGCTAAAACACAACGGAGGCCGAGATGTTGTATTTGGTTTCATTGAAAACTCTGTCTCAATAGTCAATAGACTCAGGACCTCGTTTCTAAGACTACTGGATGCTGACCAGGACCTCATTGTCCTGAGGGTTTAATGATTAAGCAAGGGACAGGAGGTGAGTCAGGGTACTGGGTGAGTCCAGTTTGAGTTAAAGGAATAAATAAATAAATAAATAAATAAATAAATAAATAAATGGCCAGATTAAAGAAAATAAGGTTTCTGCCTTGGCCGGGTTTTTCAGTTGATTAGAACATTTGCCATGGTTGTCAGATCCCCAGTCAAGGCACATAAAAGAATCAACCGATGAATGCATAAATAATTGGAAAAACAAATCCATGTTCCCCTCTTTCTTCCTCTTGCTCTAAAAATCAGTAAGTGAAAAATTAAAAAAATAAAAATTAGGAAAGAAAGAAAATAAGGTTTCTGCTTTCTGCACAGTTACACAGTCATGGACAAGGTCACAGAAAAAGGCGCACTGGTCCTAAAGCCACTCGGTCTGGCAATGCAGCATGAGGAGGCCGGCCCAGTTTTATTAGGTGTGCGGCTCCCTAGTCCTTTGTCTCCCCCGTTCTTTGTCTCCCTTGTCAACACGGTTAAGATTGGACGTTCTGTCTCATCCTTCTGACTCTTGCCAGCCTGACGCAGGGCTTTCCCAGGAAAGGTGACGGTAGAGAGGAACCATTCAGACAGGCAAGTTTCCTAATTTTCTGTTTCAGTTTTCTAACATGTAAAATGGAAGTTAGACTAATGAAGGCGGATAGTTAACTGGTATGTATGGTAAAACCATACCAGCTGTTAATGTATTGAAACTGCCCTATCATTCAGTAAAAAGAAACTACCTCAAGTCTCTAGCTGGCTCTAGACATTACCCAGCTTTCCCAAGACCTTACTCCGGCATGGCCGAGTGCTGTGCCCTGTTGGTCATTACATGTTTTGAATATCACTCTTCATAATTATTATCTCTTGAGACTGTCATGAGGTCTAAAGGGGGTCCAGTTAAAAGAAACTAATAACACTTGATCCTTACCAACTCCTTCCGACTCTCAGATATGGTTTCTTAAACTTTTTTTTTAATCCAGGACCAAATTATTCTTCTGCTATGTAGCTGTAATAGTATCTGGCCTGGATATAGCCTTCAAATATTTTTTTCTTAATCACCCAAGCAATTTTCTCTTCCATGTTCAGTTTAAAACTAGCTGCTTCTACTATTGTTAGTTTCTGTTTTTAAAATAAAAGTTTTTTAAGGTACAAATCACATGCCATAAAATTCACTTTTAAAGTATACAATTCAGTAATTTTTAGTGTATTCTAAAAGTTCTGTAACCTAATTCCTGAACATATTCATCAACCTAAAAAGAACCTCACATTCACTAGCAATCATTCCCCATTCCCCTTCCCCGCAGGCCCTAAAAACCACTCATCTACCTTCTCTCTCTACAGGTTTGCCTGTTCTGGATATCTCACACAAATGGGCTCCTCCAATTTTTGACATTTTGTGTCTGGTCTCTTAGGGTAATGTTTTCAAGCTCAACAATGTTGTAGCATGAATCTGTACTTCATTCCTTTTTATTGCTGAATAAGATTCTATGATATACATATACCACACTCTGTTTATTGCTTAGTCTTTTTAAGCTGGCATCTGGACCTTATCTTTTTTTAGGATTGAGAGTAAAACTATTAAGAATGAACTTCAACTATAGACCATAGAAACTCTTCCCAATCACCAAAGCCTTCTTTTTCTCCCTCTTTCAAATCCAACGTTGGTGAGTTATTCTGCCCAATAAGTTCCTATTTTCTATTTGAGAGTGGTTTTAAGCTAATTTTCAAAGGGTATAAGCTATAGGCCATAAAGCCAATACTATAATGTCTTCTTTCCTTCCCAGGGAGTGGTTTTCTAGTCTGTGTGCTAGCTAATAATATTAAAATTATTTTAAGGATTTTGTATACATGTTTTTGTAAAT